AAAAAAAAAAAAAAAAAAAAAAAAAAAGACTTTGTACATAGCACACATAACCAGAATCACAATTTCATTAACCAGTACATATTAGGAACAATGTACCGATATTATCTATTCTTTTTTATTTTTAAAAGGGTAGCTGGCCATATTGTACCTGTTTCCACAATCCACTCTGACTTAGTTTGGAAACAGGTACTCTATGGCCCCAGCAGCCCTCCTGCCCTGGGGTCTCTGCTCATGCAGTTCTCAGTGTGGTACAGTTCCTCCCTCTCCTCAGCTGGTGTAGGTCCTTCAGCTCTTGCCCCAGACACCGTACTGCTGAGAGCAGGACCTCTTAGGCTACCGCTTCACTGTACTTGATCTTCTCTTCCATGACTCTTGTCCCTGTTTCTTTCAAAAATTCTTATGCAAAGACGAGGTCTCACATGTTGCCCAGGCTGGTCTTGAACTCCTGGCCTCAAGTGATTCCCTCACCTTGGACTGCTAAAGTACTGGGATTACAGGTGTAAGCCATTGCCTTTGGCCTCTTGTTCCTATTTACAGTTGTGTGTCGTTGACGTCAGCCTTCCCCACTGGACTGAAAACACCAGCAGGTGCAGCACATTTCATTTCTGAGCCCTATTCAGGATCTGGCCTGGGGCACACACTCATCCGTGCTGATAGATGGACAAAGGGAACAGCCACCACCTGTGCTGGGCCAGATCCTGGGCTGAGTATCCTCTTGGTGCCCATGATGTCATCAAAGCCTCATGCCAACTGAGCCAAAATAGCCAAACATACCTCTAAGGTTCTAAAGCTCCTACCATGTGCCATGGGCTTTATATACCCTGAATCCTTTCACTGTTGTGACAACCCTTATTGTACCAGGTAAGGAAACTGAGGCACGGGGGGGATTTTAGGCAGGTGGAGTACCTCCATTTTATAGAGGAAGAAAACAGGGTCTAGGAGGTGAGTTAGAGAATAGAAGAAACAGCTCTCGATTTTGGGTCAACCGATACCATTGCTCAAACTCTTACCTGTATTAGTGGCTACCTAGGCCAGGATGTGCAGTCAGAGTACGAGGGTGACATGGCCAATGCACACTTGGACAATGACCTCAATCACCCTGACTGTGTGCTGGGCCTATGGTCAGCCCACCCTCACATGCATCATGGATCAGAGCTCACTGATCTCTAAAACAGCCCCAATGGGCAGGCACAGAGAGAGGATTTCATTTCCCCCACCAGGATATCATCTCTTCGAGCCACAAACCACAGGCAGCGAACCTGAATTTCAGGTGAACGATTCACAGGGATGAACACAGCAGGCTTCACAAGGGGCCTGGTCAGGGTGGAGGCTGTGGCTGGAGGAGCGGGCGCAGAAGTCCCAGCTGATGCAGGATGATCACTGGGTGCTGGGCTCTCATCCCTAGCCTGCAGAGGAGCTGGTGGCAAGTGTGCTGCTGTTGTCTCTGCACCAGCCTCAGCCTGCTGAGTGGCTGGGACCTCATCTGGCTCAGACTCCCCTGAGGATTCAGAATCTTCTACTGAAGGCTGGCGATGACGCTTCCGATGGGCCCCACTGAGGCTGCTGAACCTTTCTGGGCCCTGGGCTGCAACCTCATCAGGCTTCCTGTTGGGAAGCAGAGATTTCAGGCATGGAGGCCCTGGGACATCTGAGGCAGCGCCAGGCTGTCAAACATTTTTCAGAGATCAGGACTCAAAGTCCACTCCTCTTTCTGCCCCAGGACCTTTAGACCTGCTGCTCCCACTCCCTGAAACACTCTTCCTGCAGATAATTCTCCTTTATTTCACTCTTTACTCAAGTTTCTGCCCCAATGTCACCTAGCAGGGAGACTTTCCCTGGCTGCACGGCCTGAAACAGCTCCCTTCTCCCTCCATCCTCTTTTCCTGCTGCATGTCCCATCTTCCCTCCATTAGGCTATAAGCTGCTTAAGGGAAAGGACTTTCTTTTTATGCACTGCCTGGTCCCCAGGGCCTGGAGGTGCTCCTGGGACATAGTCTGCACTCAGTAAACAGTCACTAAATGAACAACAGAGCTTGCAGGGATGGCCTGGCCTAATGTAAATGAACAGAGCAGGATGAGACTGCAGAGCATGGACAACCAGGTGTGTGTGTGTGTGTGCAGGCTCATCTAAGGGTCAGCCTCTGGGGGGGGAACGTCAACTGGTTGTTGCCAGATTGTCTAACTGGTCAAGATCAGGTGGAAACCTAGATTTTAATGTGAAATTTCCTATTTCTTTTCTTTTTTTTTTTTTTGCCGTTTTTGGCTGGGGCTGGGTTTGAACCCACCACCTCCAGCATATGGGGCCGGCGCCCTACCCTTTTGAGCCATAGGTGCCACCCAAATTTCCTATTTCTTAAACGTGGGCTGTACTGGGTTAACTAACATATCCCCAAAATTCCTGTCTACCCAGAACCTCAAAATGAGACCTAATTTGGAATAAGTGTCTTTGCAGATGTAATTAGAGGTCATACTAGAATCGGATAGGCCTGATCCCATCTAATCCCACCAATCACTGTGTTCTTATAGGAAAAGCAGTGCGGCACCTGTGGCTCAGTGGGTAGGGCGCCAGCCCCATATACCGAGTATGGTGGATTTGAACCTGGCCCCAGCCAAACTGCAACAAAAAATAGCTGGGCATTGTGGCAGGCACCTGTAGTTCCAGCTACTTGGGAGGCTGAGGCAAGAGAATTGCCTAAGCCCAGGAGCTGTAGGTTGCTATGAAGCATTCTACTGAGGGGGAAAAAGTGAGACTCTGTCTCTACAAAAAAAAAAAGCAAACATGAGACTCAGATTGAGAAGGAGAATGCCATCTGATGGCAGGGACAAACACTGGAAGGACACTATGTGATAGTGGAGGCAGAGGCTGAAGTGATGCACCTGCACGCCCAGGAACACCATGGACTATTGGTACCACCAGAAGCCATGAAGAGGCCAGGGATAGGTTCTCTGGAAGCTTGCAGACAGAATCCACTGTGCTAATACCTTGACTTTGGAATTCTGGCTTCCAGAATCATGATTGAATACATTTATATTGTTTCAAACCACTAAATTTACAGTAATTGGTTACGGAAGCCCTGGGAAGCTAACATATTAGTAAACAGCCCTACTACCTTAGTAACATTGCACAAACCAAACCAAACCAGACCTGTGAATGGGCCAAAGCTAGCTCTTCATTACCTGCTGGCAACTTCTGGCCTGATCAGCTGTATAAATGCTGGAAGAACCTATAATGCAGGACTCTAAACTGCAGGGAAACACCATTACCAGAGCAAGAAACCTGGCTGTCCTGAGCCTTGTAGAAGGTTTAGCATACCTAAGGCCTTTACCAACTAGAGGTATTTAGCAGAGAAAACTGATCGTCAACTACTCAAGCCACCACAAATATATTTCCTCAAACATTGCAACCCTGGAAGATCCCAAAACCTGTGAGCCTTTCCTGGCAGGCTTGGTGGGAGGGAGAAGCTTTGGTCTCCAAGGGCTGGTCGACTCACTCTTTGGTGTGGTACATGCGGTCCCCAGTGCCCAGCTTGGACGTGGTATACAAGAGTCTCATCTCGGCTTCTGAAACCTGGACTTCACTCAATTTCTGTAGCATCTCTGCTCGCTGGGAAAGGAAATGAATGTATTATACATCTGACATCATGACCCTCAGAAGGAAAGTGACACTCTAAATAAAATTTCAGCATCCCTAGGGGAGTCTTTTTAAATGAAGTCTAAGGGTGTACAAAGGACTGGGCAAAACACAGTGTGGTATTTAAGAAAGATATACGCAAAGAAGAGAGAGTCTTCACTCTATTAATAGCTCCAAGGACTGCACATCAGTGACTGCTAAGGAGAGACCTATGTGCTTTCTGATGGAAACACAAGCACCTGAGGGTGGTGTACTTCTTGTCAAGAAGTCAAACTTGGGCTCGGCGCCTATAGCTCAACCGGCTAAGGCGCCAGCCACGTACACCTAAGGTGGTGGGTTCGAATCCCCAGCCCGGACCCGCCAAACAACA